GCTGCTGTAGTTCATCAAGATCGTCACCACGCCGTCGTGCTGACGAAACTCTTCCCCGACACTTTGCTGGATCGGAGTCCGGGGATCGTCATCGAGCTGAACGTGTGCTCGAACTCGGAGGTGCCGTAGTTTCGGTGCTTGATCGGTTGGATCGTGAAGACGTACGACTACTTCCTCTACGTCGTGTCATCGCTTCCGCAGTCGGTCTGCGTTGGGTACGTAGACAACACTCTCCTCTCGTTGCTATGCATCACATGATCCTGTGTGCGCGTAGGAAAATTTTTGAAATTACTACGAAACCTAACAAGAACATCCTAAAATACCTGAAAAGGACTAAGGATATGTTTCTCGTATATGGAGGTGACAAAGAGCTCACCGTAAAAGGTTACGTTGATGCAAGCTTTGACACTGATCCGGACGATTCTAAATCGCAAACCGGATACGTGTTTACATTAAACGGTGGAGCTGTCAGTTGGTGCAGTTCTAAACAAAGCGTTGTAGCGGGATCTACATGTGAAGCGGAATACATAGCTGCTTCGGAAGCAGCAAATGAAGGAGTCTGGATGAAGGAGTTCATATCCGATCTAGGTGTCATACCTAGTGCATCGGGTCCAATGAAAATCTTTTGTGACAATACTGGTGCAATTGCCTTGGCAAAGGAATCCAGATTTCACAAAAGGACCAAACACATCAAGAGACGCTTCAACTCCATCCGGGATCTAGTCCAGGTGGGAGACATAGAGATTTGCAAGATACATACGGATCTGAATGTTGCAGACCCATTGACTAAGCCTCTTCCACGAGCAAAACATGATCAGCACCAAGGCTCCATGGGTGTTAGAATCATTACAGTGTAATCTAGATTATTGACTCTAGTGCAAGTGGGAGACTGAAGGAAATATGCCCTAGAGGCAATAATAAAGTTATTATTTATTTCCTTATAATCATGATAAATGTTTATTATTCATGCTAGAAGTGTATTTACCGGAAACATAATACATGTGTGAATACATAGACAAACAAAGTGTCACTAGTATGCCTCTACTAGCTCGTTAATCAAAGATGGTTATGTTTCCTAACCATGAACAATGAGTTGTTATTTGATTAACGAGGTCACATCATTAGCAGAATGATCTGATTGACATGACCCATTCCATTAGCTTAGCACCCGATCGTTTAGTATGTTGCTATTGCTTTCTTCATGACTTATACATGTTCCTATGACTATGAGATTATGCAACTCCCGTTTACCGGAGGAACACTTTGGGTACTACCAAATGTCACAACGTAACTGGGTGATTATAAAGGAGTACTACAGGTGTCTCCAATGGTCGATGTTGGGTTGGCGTATTTCGAGATTAGGATTTGTCACTCCGATTGTCGGAGAGGTATCTCTGGGCCCTCTCGGTAATACACATCACATAAGCCTTGCAAGCATTACAACTAATATGTTAGTTGTGAGATGATGTATTACGGAACGAGTAAAGAGACTTGCCGGTAACGAGATTGAACTAGGTATTGGATACCGACGATCGAATCTCGGGCAAGTAAACATACCGATGACAAAGGGAACAACGTATGTTGTTATGCGGTCTGACCGATAAAGATCTTCGTAGAATATGTAGGAGCCAATATGGGCATCCAGGTCCCGCTATTGGTTATTGACCGGAGACGTGTCTCGGTCATGTCTACATTGTTCTCGAACCCGTAGGGTCCGCACGCTTAAGGTTACGATGACAGTTATATTATGAGTTTATGCATTTTGATGTACCGAAGGTTGTTCGGAGTCCCGGATGTGATCACGGACATGACGAGGAGTCTCGAAATGGTCGAGACATAAAGATTGATATATTGGAAGCCTATGTTTGGACATCGGAAGTGTTCCGGGTGAAATCGGGATTTTACCGGGTTACCGGGAGGTTACCGGAACCCCCCGGGAGCCATATGGGCCTTCATGGGCCTTAGTGGAAAGGAGAAAGGGGCAGCCCAAGGGGGCTGCGCGCCTCCCCCCTTCCCCTAGTCCTATTAGGACTAGGAGAGGTGGCCAGCCACCCCTCTCCCTCTTTCCCCCTTGGGAATCCTAGTTGGAATAGGATTGGGGGGGAGTCCTACTCCCGGTAGGAGTAGGACTCCTCCTGCGCCTCTCTCTCTTGGCCGGCGCCCCCTCCCCCCTTGGCTCCTTTATATACTGAGGTAGAGGCACCCTAAAGACACACAAGTTGACACAAGTTGATCCACGTGATCTATTCCTTAGCCGTGTGCGGTGCCCCCTGCCACCATATTCCTCGATAATACTGTAGTGGAGTTTAGGCGAAGCCCTGCTGATGTAGTTCATCAAGATCGTCACCACGCCGTCGTGCTGACGAAACTCTTCCCCGACACTTTGCTGGATCGGAGTCCGGGGATCGTCATCGAGCTGAACGTGTGCTCGAACTCGGAGGTGCCGTAGTTTCGGTACTTGATCGGTTGGATCGAGAAGACGTACGACTACTTCCTCTACGTCGTGTCATCGCTTCCGCAGTCGGTCTGCGTTGGATACATAGACAATACTCTCCTCTCGTTGCTATGCATCACATGATCCTGTGTGTGTGCGTAGGAATTTTTTTGAAATTACTACGAAACCCAACAGCCAGTTGCAGCTAAAACTCTTGTCAGTCCTAGCAAAAACTGTCTCCAGTTGTAACTCTGTGTTATACTGGTTGTAGCACATCGACTTCGTCTGCCGGCGCCACATAGCGCTACACTCCCAATCTTCTACAGTTGCCCCGTTTTGCAGCACCGGTGGTCATCGTTCGCAATGCCCAGTCTTCTGGTTGCACAACTGATGCACGATCATGTAGAAATTATAGGATGATTGAATATTTTTGTTCTATTGTATTGACCCTCATGAGGGGTTATATAGAGTAGATGAGAGAGGGATAGGCTTAGAGTACAAGGAAAATTGTTTAAACCTATTTTTATCTGTAATACATATATTTAGGAAAACCATTCAAAACAGCCGGTTGATCCCACGATTGCGTCTGTCGCCTCCAAAGTTTGGCACGTGTCCAAACTGGCTTTATACTTGTCTCTTTTCCCGAATTTTCTTTTCCATTCGTTTTACTCTGTCCGCTGCTTGAGTCGCTGCCTCGTCTTCTTCCCCTGTGTCTCTCTCATGCACATCTTTATCTTTCTCGGTCTTTCGACAGTTGCAATTGACCCATCCGCCGTTTGTAAGCGTGACCGCTGCTGCAAACGTGTTGCCATCAAGCGGCCAACGCAACATTGCTCATGTTACGGGTGATGCTTCAACAACATGGCTGGTGCTCCGAGCTCGCCGGGTCGCAACATCTCCCTTGTTATCGATGCTACTTCGGCAACATGACTGGTGTTGTGAGCTTGCTGGATTCACCTATGTCGCGGCCACTGCTTCTTCGGTGCCGTGGCCTGCGGCAACATTGCCGGTGCTTCTAGAGCATGCTCGTTGCTGTAGCAGCTGCTTCGACAACATGGCCGGTGTTGTCTGGCGCCGGTGCTCCGAGCTCGCCGGGTCGCAACATCTCCCATGTTGTGGATGCTACTTTGGCAACATGACTGGTGCTGCGATCTCGTTGGATCCGCCAATGTCGCGGCCGCTGCATCTCTAGTGCTGCTGCCTGCGGCAACATGGCTAGTGCTTCCAGAGCATGCTTGTTTCTGCAGCCGTTACTTCGACAACATGGCCGGTGCTTCAGCAACATAGCCGGTACTTTGCCGTTGCTACGCCACCATGGTCGGTGCTTCGTCGTGCTTCTGCGGCCAATGCTTCGACAACATGGTTGGTGCTTCGTAGGTGTTGCGGCAAGCCAACAACATGGTCGGTGCTTCCGTGCATGCTCATTGTTGTGGCCGGTGCTTCGACAATATGGCCGGTGTTGCGGCAACATGGTCGGTGCTTCGCAGGTGTTGTGGCAAGCCGGCAACATGGTCGATGCTTCCACAACATGCTAGTTGCTGCGGCCTCTCCGGACTGTTGGTTTGTGATGGCGCTGGGGCCGGGGATATTGATTGGTTGTGACGACGCTCGAGCTGGTGGCGTGCGCGTTTCGGGCGAAAGGGCGACTCCGTCGCGAGGCGAAGCCGTCGCTGGACGCTTGATTACGGTCGATCCAAGGGCTCGTGGATCAGTCAGATGACGTGTAGAGTTCCGCCATCCGTGCAGTCGTTGGATCGCCTTGCTCCATGTGTCGTCACGCACACTCGCACACGGTCCGTTATTTCCCTTGCCTACCACGTGCCCCTTTACCTTATCTTGCAAGAGTAGGGGTGTTGCAAACCATGGCGACAAACGACAACTGCAACTTAGACAAGCTTTTGCAACATTAGTTTTGTTGGAAAAAACTGCAACAAAACCTTTGTTGCAAAGAAAATCTACAACAAAAACTCTGTTGCAAAAAAAATCCCACAACACAACCTATGTTGCAAAAATATACTCCCTCCATTCCAAAATAGATGACTCAACTTTGTACTAACTTTAGTATAAAGTTAGTATAAAATTAGGTCATCTATTTTGGAATGGAGGGAGTATTATGCAACATAACCTTTGTTACAAATGTTTCTTTAACAAGACCTTTGTTGCGAAGTAGAGGAAGACATTAAGCCACTGGATTGTGCCAGATCCGACGACCTATGAGGCAGCTAATCTTTTCAAAAGTTCTTTTTTAAAGATCTGTTGGCCAACGAATAGCAGCCTCCATATATTTATCTTTAACTCTCAAATATTGTATCTCTAATAAGCCACGCGAGGGACATGTTGGCGTGGGTGCCTGCCGATGGGAAAGGGTGAGTAGAAGGATAGGATAGATGCAAGCAGAACGAGAGAGATGGAGAATCATGAGACGAAGGGAGACGCACGATCTGTTATTTGTGATCTAACGTGCCGTCCGCGTATGCAACAACCAGTAACTATAAATACTCCCCCTAGTAGGTCCAAAAAGGGCAACGGCGTAACCCTGCATCGATCTCTTCGCTGCGTGGCCACCATGTCTTCCTCCGCCGTCCGGCCGTGTTTCCTTTGCCTCCACGCTCCCGCTTCGTCCTCCGGCCTCCTCCTGACCAGCCGTCCGCATCGCAGCAGCGCCCTGCCGCCGGCACATGGGCGTAACAACCGGAAGCCCGTCGGCCACGGGATCGTCTGCAGCCAGGCCGGCGCCGGCGATGGTCACGCCATGACGATCAAAATCAACCCCCGGGGTCGAGCGGAGAAGGATTATGTGAGACACTTGACCTGATCTTCCTCTGCTTTTTGACTAACTGATACATAATCTCCCAACGACACGTAATTTAACCCCTGTAGGAGTTGTTGCCTACGGGGGGGATTTGTTTGAACTTCCACTCCAGATTGATGTTGTGATCAACCCGTCTGTCTGTTTCAATTTTTTTTCCAAATATATCGAAGTATTTTCAGCAGGTGCAAGGCAATCGAAGTATTTTTTTTTGTTTCATCCTATTTTCCCTATTTGTTTGCCATTATTTTTTTTCCGTTCAATCATTCTCTCCTTCAATGGAAAAATCGAGGGCATCATTTTTGCAAGCTTTTTAACCTTACCTAGCTGCTCATGCTGAAGTTCACAACTGTACTAGACAACATATGAGATGTACTACTACTTACTAGTAGATAATGGACTGAAATTATTAAATATACAGTACTGAACTTTATAATTAATAAAATATCTTGCTTAGCATCTTGGTCATATAGTCTTATATCTGAAGTCCCTTTTTTCTTCTAAAAGGAGTTTCGTGAAGAAGGAGACAGAATTGAGGAGTACTTCAGGAAGTTTTCTAATGCCAGCACATTGGTAACCCTTGTCCCTACCAGTATATAATCATTTATATATATGTGAGTATGTACTCCCACACCGCATATACTAGTTGGACGAGTCAGTTATACCTTATTAGCAATTTTCAATACACTTTGTTAGAGTCCATAATGTGTATATAGGAAAATCCTACTACCGCATGTCTCTAAACCCATCTCAGGTAGTATATATATAGTATTTTACCATTTAAAGTATTTTCAGGACCATTTTTTATGTAACTTTGAAGCAAACTACATGAAAAAAATTGTACATACTAGCAACAAAACGTAATATACATAGTACCTAGGCAGCCTGATAATACACACTCTTCGCCTAGTGCCGAAATGGCCTGACCTTTCTTTTCTTTTTTTGCGGTGAGCAGCACATGGGGTTAGCAACAATATTTCGAGGTTATCTTTGCATGATCGCTAAAAATTCTGTGAGGCTGGCTTCTATTGTCATGGTAAACTAATTGTTTCTGGTATCAACACCTGCTGCGTACTCGCATTGATTTCGAACACAAATTCTCTGCTAAACACGATGACAATATCTTCTACTTTTCTCTCTGATATGATTACAGGGTAAGCCAGGCATAATTTCTGAAGATGCACGTCTCACCACACTGATGACTCCAAGAAAGGGACAAAAGATGGTAACACAATAGTACTGTTTTTGTATTCCATGAAAGCATATATTGCCGTGGTACATGCACTATGGAGCACTAACTAATTGATTGAACTCGCTCCCTACTAAAACATACCATATAGGCTCTTGGGGTGTACGTGCGCAACTTTGTCAGTACAGCCAAGGATGCGTACAATGATAAGGTCACTGAGGAAACTATTGTTACCTTTCTTGGTGCTCTTCAAGGTGTGGCAGCAATGAGCTACTTCATGGCTCAAGACACCCTTGCAAATATTGGTGATGATGAAGCTCGTTCACTGGACTGCGGTCCAGATTCTGTTTTCAATAGACCTTGGTTGGAGTACATGAGGAAAACAGACAATCTGAGACGTGAATTCAAGACGGCTCCGCCACAAGACCAGGACGGGGTAGGGTGAACTTCCGTTCGTTTGGCCGATTTCCTCTACTTTCTTTGCTGTCGTACTGACATTTTTGCATGGTCTCTGTGCAGATTATGATGAATACGGTGACTGAAGCAATGAAACTCACGGAGTCCTTTGTTAGATTGATGACTGTTCGTCACAGAACTGCGCTACTAGGCCTTATCCCAAGTAAATATTATCTTCATGTATTTTGAGTCGTCACCATCTTTTCTGTTGATGTTAATTTTTGCCTCTCCTTGCATGGCGGCAGCTGTCACCACAGGCTCGGCAGCAGCAGTTTGATGGCAAACCATATCTATGCTTCAGAAAGAGAGTCACAAGTCCCTTGGAAGATTAATTGCAAGTCTGAATCGGATCAAGTCCACTTTTTGTATAATATTAATACAGTTTTCATGCGACAGTTCAGGTAGACAATATATGGAAGACAGACTAGAGATCTCACAGTTAATCCAAATTCCAAATATATATAACATCATCAAGTTAGATGTTTACTTCTGTTTAAACTCCTTGCTCTCCTACACCTTGATATCTTCTTTATCCCATCAGCATTGTAGCCGACCTAGAAACCGTGCCCGCCGTGTCACCATCGGTTCGTTGATGCCTTCTATCCCTTGGTGCTTTTGGACGGTGGTGGTCAACCGGCTTCATCCGGTCGTAGATGAGCAACTTGTGCATGTGCTTGCCTTGGTCAGGTATAGGTTATCTGGCGCAGCGGCGCACGAGATAGAGGTGGATGGTGGTATTACGAGTTTACATTGAGATTCTATTGTATTTGGAGGGAAGGTGTTTGCTCGAAGTTCTGTTTGTGAGGATGATAGCCCCAGGTTTGACCTGTGGTTGGATTAGCTAACATTGGTGTGCGAGTGACGATTCATTCCTAGAGGTGTTGTCTTTTGAGACTTGCTCCATTCATTAGGTCACATATCGCTCGACTCATGGATTATGGTCCACCATTATAAGGTTTGTGCTAGGATTATTGAGATGGTGGCGTGAGACTGATTATACATTGATGGCCCTGGGTTTTTTCAAATCGATTTATTCATTGTCAATGTCTGACATTACTTTCGATAATAAATAGTAGTAATATATAACTTATATAAACCAATCGATATGGATGCTAAGGGGTTATCCTCCTTGGAAATAATAAGCCCCACCTAGTGAGAGCCGTAGAAACAAAATAGGTTAGGAGAGTTGGGGGACTCCGGTAGGTGTGGAAAGAGGGATGAACAATGAAACAGCTAAATGAGGGAATGCTCTCCCTTGATGATTGCCACTATTAACGAGTGTCATCACAGACCGGCTAGCCAATCAATGATGGCTATGTAGAGATGGCCGAAATGTTGAACAATGCATGGAAATATCTTGTGCACCAGAGCTTGTAGTGCTACCGGTGCACTGAACTCATATTGCGCTTTTAAAATGTCCAAAATATTCTGAATTTTTTTTACCACATTCACAAAATTTCAAGTCAAAATTTGAAAGATAACTCGAAAAAGAAAAATCACAAATTCAACACTGAATACTACATAACATAGGTTGGGCTTTAGATTTGGCCCATTATCACACAAATGTCAAATTTGTCATTTTTGTATCTTAAAAAATGTTTCAAATTTTGATACAAATTTTGTGGCATCATACATTGATCTTGTGTTAATGTGCTATATGTTTTTAGATTTTTTTTTAAATGTTCGATGGCATCCGGTGCACCGGTAGCATCATAAGTGCGGGTGCAAAGGATTCATTCCTTGAACAATGCAGCCCTAGCTACACCATACACCCATACACAAAGCACATATATGTAGTCACATTCACACATATATGGAGTATTGCATATCACTAGCAAAACGTCCCATGCGTTGCAATTGGACAAAAAAATCATAATCCCCAATGGTCATGATCACATTTTGCTGAATCGCCGAGATACACTATCACTCCCATTTTCGTGAAATCGTGAACAATTTTAGAAAAATCATGAACATTGTTTTAAAATTGTGAACATATCTGAAATTGTAAACAACTTCCAAATTCGTGAACATTTTTTTACATATTTTCGTATATTTTTTTACATCATGAACATTTTATACTATTAGAAAACATTTTTTTAATTGTGAAATTTTTTTAATTATTTTTCTTAAATAGGCGAACATTTCTAGAATCGACGAACATTTCTTTGGAAATTGTTTGGTGGAACAATATTTGAAATTCGCGAACTTTTTTTGATTTAGCGAACATTTTCTGAAATTCATGATCATTTTTTGACTTAGAAAAATTTCATGAATCGAAGAACTATTTTGTAAGTCACGATCGATCTTTGAATTTTTAGAATATTTTCCAATTCATGAATAGTTTTTGAATTGGCGGAATTTTGTTCAATTTCATTAACATTTCTAATACACTAACTTTAAAAAAAATCATGAACATTTTTTATTTTTCAAACATTTGAATTTAAAAATTGTGAATATTTATTGTATATGCTAATATTTTTTTAAAAATCTCAACATTTTCTGAATTCACAAATATTTACGAATTATTAAACATTTTATTTCAAAATTCTCTTTTTTAAAAAAAAATGGAATTTTTTGGAAGTCCCAAATTATTAAAGTAGAAAATATGAAGATGGAAAACAAAAATGAAAAATAAAAAACAGGCCTCCCAGACATGGGCTGCACAAACAAGCGTTGTGTCTTCTCCCAGCTTGCAGAGCACAGTATGGAGGATTCCTATTTGGGCCGGCCCAACTAGGGATTCCCCTGTGTGAAACTTTTTTTATCACTTATAGGTGGCATTGCAGGGTAATATTCTACAACTTTGAGGGCAAATTCGATATCGTACCACCAGAAGCAATAGCCCCTTTATTATTAGGTATAGATAAACAACTGACAAACATATAAAACCAAAATATACATTCCATATAATTATATTCATTTATATCATTAGTCACATGCATCTTGCATATTTACAATATCCATGTCATCGTATACATGTACATTCATGTACGACACAAGGTAAAAGCAAACTTTGTGCCTTTTTGGTCCGTGCAACCATCTGGATTCGTTCTCCGACCAACGCAGCATGTGCCTGGCGCGTCAACTAACAAAGCGAAAAGCCATCAGTACCCAGGTTCGGGCCTCCGATGAGGAGTAATACACTACATCCTGCTTGCTATTGTTATTCAAGGTGAGTATACCTCGCTTGAGGGATTAAAATAGAGTTTAGATGTCTACCGAGAGTTTGTCCCATCAGATTCCATCGGAAGGAGAGCTCCCTACCCTCCCCTTATATACATGGTGGAGGGTAGGGTTTTACGGAGAAAGATGCAATTGATGCCTCTGCCATTGTAGACTTGGGGACCAAGATGATCGTAGG